TCATGTGTCTGTTGGCTGTTCGGATGTCTTCCTTTGAGAAGTGTCTGTTCATATCTTTTGCCCACTTTATAATAAGGTTGTTTGTTTTTCCTCTCCGCACGTTTGAGTTCTTTGTAGATCCAAGATGTTAAGCCTTTGTCGGACCTGGTCTGCATTTTTTAAATGTTGAAAAAAAAATACTAAAAGAAGACTATTATTTTATGATGCATGAAAACTATCTAAAATTCAAAATTCAGTGTCCATAAATAAAGTTTCATTGGAAATAACCATGCCCATTGGTTTACATACTGTCTATGGCAGCTGTCGTGCTACAGCATCAGATTACATAGTTGTGACAGAGTCTGCAAAGTCAAAAATGTTTACCATCTAGGTCTTTATACAGTTTGCTGACTTCTGTTCTGGTTATTCTGATCAATTAATCAAACCTATTATTTTAGTTAAATTTACCTTATATTTATTTAAAATGCTTATTCATTTTTAATTGGTTACATAATAGTTATGCTTACTAAAGGGTCACATGTGAAGTTTTTACACAAGCATACAATGTGTAATGATAAAATTAGGATAAGTGGCATATCCATCACTTTGAGCATTTATTCTTTGTCTTAGAAACATTCCAATTCCACTCTTTTAGTTATTTTTGCAATATACAGTAAATTATTGTTAACTATAGTCACCTTATTGTGTTACTAAGCACTAGATTGTATTCCTTCTGTCTATCAATATTTTGTACCCATTTTAATCTTCTGTATTATTTTTATTAATTTGCCTCCTACTAGGCATTTGTGGTCCTTATTTAGTACAAAAAACTAAATAATGTGGGCAAGTCTCAGGTATTGTGACAGCCCCTCGGAGAAACATTTTTTAATCACCCAGTCTTTTGTTACTTTTCACATCACACCCTACAGGCAGTATGCCTCCTCTGCTCTGCAAAGGCAGTCGTACTCTAGTTAAATAGAAATATGATAAATAAAATTACATTTCAAACTGTCCTGCTGCTTGAAGAATCTCTACAAAAATTTAATCAGCAGCATACTTTTAATTTCATATCATCTGATATTGTTTGGGATCAATGACAACAAGCCCAGCAGTTTTCTCCACAGTTTTCTGTTTTCTTTGAATGTAAATTTTCCAGCTGGGCACAAAAGAACATGTAGGGAAACCAAATGTGTGATCTGTATCAGTCAGAATTCTGTTGAGCTGCATGAAACAGAAACTCAATTAAATACACTTGAGTAAATAAGAGGTCCCGCCTTCCCTCCACGTATCCTAAGTTCAAAGGAAAGGAATTTAGCTAGTATAGTTGCCCAGGATTGTAATTTTTTAAAAAGTGGGCAGAGAGGTGGGGTGGATATGGGAGCTCCTTTCTTGCTATTGGTTTAGTTTTTCATCCTATAGGCATGAAATAAGGGATCTGCTGGAAACTATTAGATTTTAAGATGGAAAAAGGGAGAGACACAAAGGGCAAAAGTAAAAATGTCTGAAAAGTATATTTAACAAAGAATTCTATAGCAAACCACTAACATAACAAACATTAACCAGCAAACATTCTTTTAGTATCTTTCAAAATCATAATTCAATAGTAATACAGTAACTAAGTATGTCTCCTTTAATAAGTTATCTACATCTCATTGGCCAACCATGCTACATTGCCATCCCTGAAGAAAAAGAGGTCTGGGAAGGTAAGCATTTCATGTTGGGCACATTTGACATGAGTTTCTTTTAGTAAGGAACAGTGGAACAATGGATATTGGGCAGACAATTGGTACAGTTTGCCCAGTTGGTATAAGAGAGTCAGCTATATAGCAGGGCTTTGGGCCATAGCAAGGTTGAAAGTTATTTCAGCTGCACTGATGATTTTTACCTACCTTGGAAGTCAGAGAAACCATTCAGAGACATGATGTAAGTCATACCAACTTTTGCAATCATTTGAATGATTAACTTTATTGTGTCCTAGACTGATTATTGTAGTGGCTCTTTTCTTGTTTCGTTTTGATTGAGAGCTATCAATCCACATGGATGGACTTGGGGAGTTAATTAAGGACAGCATAGCATGCCTCCACCCCTGGAAAAATATGATGGTGTGGCAGAGAAAAATCTAAGATAGTCAACTAAATGTGTTTTCAATAGCTTTGTTGGGATAGAGGTCCTTAACCTTCTTAACAGGATTACAAGCTTCTAGAAGGCAAAAGTTTCTTTCTTATGCTCCTTTATTGCCTCTACAGGGGTTAACACAGAGGTGATACTCAAACTTTATTCACGATGTGTAAATATGATAAAGGCAGTTTACTCAGAAAATTGGAGTTTCAACTTATAACAATTCATCCCCTCCTGTTAATATTTAGCTCACTTTTTGGAGATCAGTGACTTCAAGGGATAAGAGTTATATACCCCATAAATCCATCTCTTACGTGAAACTACTGGGGAAACTTCCATTTCTGTCAATATCTTCCAATGTGTAATTTGTTGTTTATAGAATATTTATGTAGGTATATATATTTTGTCATTTAATACCACCCTCCTATTTTTTTGTTTTGTTTTTATGAGAAAAATGGGACTCAGAATTAGTGAAGTGTCTACATATAGTGTTTGTATATTTGATTTTGATGTTTTCCCTTTGTATTTAATCCACCAAATTCAACCTTGCACTTATTAGCAAAACTCTTGATTCTCACATCACATCATACTTCTGTGAAGAAGAAAGTTCCACATTGATACAGCATTTTAAAAAAATGCAGCAGCAGTTTTTTTGGCCTAGTTTTATACTGTTTTTAGCACTAAGTCATAAACTTCTTTTAAAAGCAATTGATCCTTTCAGATTATGAAGTCTTTATTTGCTTGCTAAAGGAAAATGCTTTTTCAAAATATTTTTGACAAAAACAACAGCTGTACCCACATTCATAGGTAGGAGAAGTTTACAAAGCCGTAATATATTTCCTGGAGGAGTGATGTGGAATATAGGAGTAGATAGAAGAATGGGTTGTATTTTCTCTTGCTGAGGCATTATATTGCTGTGAATTATTACACATGGAGAAGTACAGTGGCAATGTATTTGTCTGAGCTCCTTCAACAGAGCACAACTCTTTAGAGACTTTATTAGAACAATTATACATTTATCATTTGTCATAGAGAAGAAATATGATATTGAAAAGAACATGGATTTGGTGTTAAGAAGACCTGAATTTGAATCAATGCTATGGTATATGGTAGCTCTATGGTCTTGGGCAAGTCATTAACATCTTTGATCCTTCCTTTTTATCAGATGGGGATAATAGCTCATAGGATTTTTTTGAAAACTACTTTAGAATGGTTATTTATTTTCATTCTCCTATTTTGTGTTTGTTTTGTACAGAGGGAAAAATTCATAAAACTACTGGACCAGCTGCATAACTCTTTAAGGATTGACTTGTCAAAATATAGGGTATGTACAAAATTATTTGCCTAAAGGTAAACTGTTATTCAGATGATTTCTTATCATATTGTAAAAATTACCCATTATGTAATGGAAAAGTAAATATATTGATCTCAGGTCCTGCCATTCCAGGAGTAATCCTGCAGATCTATTTTTTTTGCTTAGATATTTTGCTCCACATAATCCTAAAACAAAATTGTGTGTGTGTACAACTTTAATTTATAATTTTTAAATAATCATTATTTAGTAACCCCTAGCTAATTCACAGAGTAGACATATGGTTCAGTCCTGATTTTTGAAAGCTTGCCCTTTATTACTGAGATATTCTGCTGATATTTCTCCAACTTCTGAGAGTCCTATTGGAATTTGCTGCTTTGCTGCTTAATCGTCTCTTCTCCTGGATTATAGCTGCTCTCTGAAAAATCTGTTCAGAATTATCAATAATTCTATATATTTACCTCCAGGTGCAACACATATAGACACAAATATATTAATATATATGTGCATAAATATGCACATATAATTTTAGTTACAAAATATCTTAATTACAAAAAATTTAGTTATAAATTTTAGTTACAAAAAATCTATAGTTGTAATTATAGATGCTCTTTTACATTTCACATTCTTTAACAATTTATCCTAACATATTCACTTATTTGCACACACACACATACACACACATATACCTTATGCATTCATTTTTAATTAGTCTCTTATTGACAGATACCTTAATTCCTATTTCTGGTAATTATAATACCAAATGTTATCAAACTCACATTGTATTTTGGAACTGGGACTGACATTATGAGAAGAAACCCACCATGCTAGCTGTTGAAAAAGATATCTTGGAGCAAGAAGGGTCTTGAGGTCACCTCATTTGAAGGGGTCCAGCCCCTTTGCCAGGTCGTGAGATCTCCTGAAGGAGAGTCGGATAGGCGAAAGACGAAAATCTTATACTCTTATACCTGCTTCCTGAGCAGATGACATCCTTTATTAGTTAACAGAAAGCTTTTATAGCATTTGTAAAAGGGGCAAGACAAAGAAAATTCCTTCATGTACATATACTTTAAAAGTTACCATCATCTAGCGGTCTTTAGAAGAAACGAATAAACCAAAAACACTTCTACTTTCAGTTAATGAGTCTTGAGATAAGTGTAAAAGGAGTTTCACTTAAACTAAACATAATGCATACAAGGTTTACTTTGACTTCGGTTCCACATCAGTTGTCTAATTAAAAAAGCCTTAAAATCACTAGTACAAAACTATAGACTATACCTAGTGATAGTAGGAATATGAAGCCCATTAACTTGACCAAACAACAGTGGTTAGCATTTAAAGAATAACTATGAAAGTCACTTACTGTGAAGATACATACACTAATCTTTATTCTGAATAAACATATAAAGTGAACTAAACATAATGAAATAAAACTAACACAACTAAAATTATTATGGTTGCATAATTGCCAATGAACTTTTAAGTTTAGGATAATGGTGATTTGGCTGTTTTCCCTTATGCTTGGCAACCTCCTGGAAAACATCTTTGTGGAGCAATTATTATTTTCTTTGAGGCACCAATTTTATCATTGTGTGAACTTAAACTTATGAACTTAAAACAATCTTCAAAGTAGCTATAAAACACTAAACTATAGCACTAAAACTTAATTAATGACACAAAGTAGAAACCTTGTTAAACATAATCAGAGCCTAATAATTTTTGTCAACCCTCATACATATGTATATTGATTATATAAACTTGTATGATATTACATTTACCAATTATGATTAATACAGGAATAAAACAATTATCATGTCTAGAATAGCACTGCCAGCAACTCTCTTCAAAAGAATCCCAAATTACAGTCCTTGAAGTGCTTCAAGAAAGTTCCCAGGTGCATGGTTCTTCATGTAGCAGTTCTTCTCTTTTGGGCTTTTACGACCTTCAAAGCTTTTGTAATCGCCTTTCTTGTCCAGGTGTATTTAGTTAATTATCATGAAACTATCTAATTAGTATATTATGAATTCAGTGAAAACCCACTCTATAAATGTTTACTTAAAATTTAACTATAGAATTAAGTAAAAACCTTAACGATTAATCTTTATCCTAAGTCTGTGAAGACAGTGTTATAAATCACCTACATAACTCCTAGATAAGTGTTAGAACTTATAATGAGCTCATAATGAACTTACCATAAACTTGTACTTCTAAAAAACCTTATGTCTGAACACTAAGCTGCATAATTCTAAATCAAATGAGTGAATATACTTATATCATTTTTTACTCAAGCAACATCTAGTAACTTATCACCAAGTGAAAGAAAGCATTCTTGATGTGCTTCAGAGTTTAACCCTTGCATACGTTAGAAAAGGCCAAGCGGCATAGTGGGAAAATGGGAAAATGAACCATGACATTCTCAGGTTAGGTGTGAGTACTTCGCATAAACATTCCATTTTCTTCTTCCACGACTGCACAGAATTTCTTCAGCCGTATCAAACAGCAAAGGTAGAAGACAGAAGGGCTCAGCTTCCCGGGCTCGCCCTGCGGCCCGGGGTCTTCGGCCCACCGGGACCCTGTCAATCATGTGGACCTCCAGGGCTGGCTCCCAACACTCATTCTTCACCTCATTATTTGGGTACCTCAACTCTGCTCGGGATCATGAGGAGCTAGAAATTAGCTGTGATTTTCCTGAAGGCTCGTTAGAAAGCCAGTCTGACAGCAGGTTAATATGAGAAATTTCTCAGTGATAGAATTGTTTCTTAGTTCAAATATTTTTATAACTACAGTTTTCTTTTCCTTCAAAAGTTTGAGCATCTGTATTTTTAAATAATACTTCTCACTAAACCTCACTAAAAGAAATATTTTGTTGAAATCCATAGTACTTCAGGAGAGACTGTGCAATGCACACTTAAAATAAACTAAAGCCAGCTTTCTTTTCAACTTTTATAAGTTTCTAAGTGACTAAAAGTAAATGTAGCACATATACAATTTTCAAAGTATTTTAAAAATTTTCCTATCTTGAGAAAGTTATGTAAAATTTTTCCCATCTGTGCTATACTCTTCTTTTAATGGCAAAACTATTTTATGAGCAAGGGTTAATAATATAACATTGCAATAATGATATTGTTTTGTATATTTTACTGCATTGTGAGGCTAAATGGAAAAGTGTAGTTTTCTAGGAATAAAAAGGTAATATTTCAGATTATTTATTTTCTATAATGTTTTATGATAAAAATATTTTGAGAATACTTTAGGGGTATTTAAAAAATATTATGCAGTTTACTTTCTGTTTTCTTTCAAAGAAAGCTGGTTTTAGTTTATTTTCCACTGGAGAGTTAATGCTAACAGTTTTATTCATTTTCTGTTTCCTAACTAACCAGGAAAACTTTCCTGCAAGCAATACTGAAAGACTGCAGGACCTGAAATCAACAGTTGATCTGCTAACAAGTATCACTTTTTTTAGGATGAAGGTATCTCATTTTATTTCTGTCACTGTCTTGGTGTGACATAGAACACATTCATCTCCTGGTAAATTCTTGTTTTACCCTTCTCTTAATCAAGTGCTGTGTCACCCCATTGATTAAGCTGTACTGTCTCTGCCTGAACTAAATGAATCTTCCAATTTAGGGTGTATTGAGGAAAGGATTATCCTAGCAATTTAAAATACTCTGATACATTTGGTTCAAATTTAGTTCTAAATTAAATCCATCTTAAACAAAGCTTGCTAGTAAGTAGACATGGCACTTAAAAACCGAAAGAATGTTAAATGGAAATGGAATTCACTTCTAATTTTAGTTTTAACAGATGTTTTGCTGACTTTCTCACTGCAAGAGAGTAACTGATTCTTTTAAGTTTACCCCAGTTGTGGCAACTTACATTTTCAGAACTGACAATCTCTACATAAGAATATATTTGGATTCCTATGGACCAGATATCACCTGGTACATTGGTATAAATTGGCTGTTATCTAACAAACTATCCAGGAGTTCTTTTAGATGTATCCCTTCTGCTTTAATAGCAAGTTGTCTGCAGTCATAATTTTGGCCAGCAGTCCAACTTACATAAAGCCTTTCTAAAAACTGCTTGTCAGTCTATGAGCTAAAATATTTACTCTTTTTAAAAGGCTATTGTGATGCTTATTTAGAAATTTGTTTTCTTTTCATTTACCCGTGTTTTGTTTTGTTTTGTTTACTATATTCTAAAAATGGAATTTTATGGTAAAAAATAGAAAACAAAGCCATACTATATCATTGGCCACTTAGAATCTTTAAAGTTTAATTGAAATTCATTTGGTTTAAAATCAGGTTAAAAAATCAAGGCTGAGGTGAGTAGATTGCCTGAGCCCGCGGGTTCGAGACCCGCCTGGGCAACTTGGCGAGACCTCATCTCTACAATAAATCAAAAAATCAGCCGGGCGTGGTAGCGCGCCTGTAGTTCCGGCTACCCGGCTACTCGGAAGGCTGAGGCGGAAGGATCGCCGGAGCCCAGCAGGTCGAGGCTGCGGTGGCCGGGAGCAGCCACTGCACTCCAGTCTGGGCGACAGAGTGAGACTCCAACTCAAAAAAAAAAAATCAGATTAAATTAAAGTGACTAGGAAAAATAAAATTTATGTTAGTTCTGATCTACTGACAGTAGCTACTAGCTGTTTGAGTAGTGAGCTGATAATGATGAGACCCAATCAAGTTGACTTGGATTGACAAGTGATGTTTGCCATTGACATTGAGGGATGAAGAGCAGGAGTGAGTGCAGGGAGTACCAACACAGTGATAACACATCTGCTACACTGACCTTGCAGTACTAGAAAACAGTGTCCTTAAACTTGCAAACTCCTTTCCTACCCTCACTGCCAGCTGATAACTTTGTTTCCTATTTCGTTTAAAAAAAAAAGGAAGAAAGAGTGTCCTCAAACTCCAACCACATTACTCCCAACACCTTACCCCTTCTAGATACTTACCTACATGTGTGCATATACACTTCCTTTTAGTTACTATTGATGAGCTATCTGTTGTTCTGGAAAAGGTCATCTTTTCTGCTTGTGCACTTGACTTTGTCTTCTCTTGTGTACTAAAATATTGGTGTAGCAATCCTCTCTTCTCCCCTAAATTACAGTTTTTCCCTCGGTACATGCTACAACTTCTCAATCGTAAAAATACTGCTGGACTCCATTTTCTTCCACAGCTACTATTCTGGTTCATCTTTTTCTAATATCAAAACTCCTCAAAATTATCATCCATACATTTTGTTTCAATTTCTTTAATCTTATTGTCTTTTGAACAAATTTTCTCCTCCCATTATTATTATTTATTTCGTTACAGACAGTAAAAATCACTCTTTTTGTTATACAGTTACACTAGTTTTGACAAATGTGCAGTTGTATAGCCACCACAATGATAAGATACAGAGCAGTTCTATAAGTCTACAAAATTCCCTTGTGCTACCCCTTTATAGTCAATCCTCCTACCACACCTTCATGACAGCTGATTTGTTTTCTGCCTATAAAATTGTCTTTTCCAGAACATCTTGTAAATGAAATAACACATTGTAGAGTCATTCATGCTGTTAAGTATATCATTGGTTTACACCTTTTTATTGCTAAGTTGTAATTCTTTGTTATGTATATACTATAGACATTTGAGTTGTTTCCAATTTGGAGTTGTTACAAATAAAACTGTTGTAAATAGTCATGTTTAGGTTTAGACTATAAACATAAGTTTTCCTTTTCCCAGGGTGAAATCCCTAGCAGAAATGTGCAAGAGTTTCAGTTGTGTTACATTTTCTAGTGAAACTCTTAGAATTTTGATATAATTAATTTATTTGTTATTCTAATAGGAGTGAAGCTGCATCATCTTACTGTAGTCCTAATTTTATCTCTCTAAAACTTAATAACGTTGAGTATCTCTTTGTGATCTGATTTGCTATCTCAATATCTTTCTTTGTGAAGAATATCTTGACATTTTTAATCTGTTTTTATTAGCCTGTTTTCTTATTGTTTAGTTTTTAAAAATTCTTTTAATCAACAGATAAAATTATTTATTTATTGTACACAGCATGAATTTTTGAAATATATATATATACACACCCATTGAGGGATGGCTAAATCTAGATAATTAATATATGTATTACCTCACAAAGTTATAATTTTGTGGTAAGAACACTTAAAATCCACTCTCTTAGGAATTTTAAAGAATATAATATTGTTGAGATTTGAGAGTTATTTACATATTCTAAATGCAAATGTTCTTCAGAATATTTGCTAATGTATTCTCCTTGTTTGTGTCTTGTCTTTCCATTTTCTTAAAAGTATTATCTGCCCAGCAGTTTTAAATTTTGATCTACTTAATCAATTTTTTAATTTACAGATAATGCTCTTGGCTAAACCAAAGTCACAAAAACTTTTTTTTATGTCTCTTCTAAGTTTCATTTTACCTTTTATATTTTGACCTATGTTTTATTGAAAGTTTGGGAGAATTTTTGGTTGTTGTTGTTATTGTTTGGGATAAGGTATAAAATATGGATCAAGGATAATATTTTTACATATTTATGTTCAATAGTTGCAACACCATTTATTGAAAAGTTTTTCCTTCCTCCAATAAATTGTCTTTGTATCATAGTAAAAAAAAAGAAAAGAAAATCAATTGGTCTTATATGTTTGGGTCTATTTCTGAACTGTCTGTACTGTTCAGTTGTCTATACTTTTATCACCATTATGACTTGATTACTCTGGCCTTATAGCAAATCTTAAAATCATATATTGTGCATCTTTCACAATCTGTCTTCATTTTCATATTGTTTAGGTGATTTTAATTCTTGCTGAAGTTTTAATTAAGATAGCATTAAATCTATAGATCAATCTGGAGGTAATTGACATTTTAACAATCCTTAGTGTTTGAGCCCATCATTAGTATTTGAATCCACCTCAATCAGATTTTACCCCATCATTTCATCAAAAATAATTTTGTTGAAGTCACCAGTGACTATCACTTTGCTAAACTTAGTAGTCAGTTATAAATTCTCATCTTACAATCATCAGCAGAATTTAACACATTTCATCACTCCTTCCCCTCAAAAAAACCCTTCTTGTCTAGATTTTCAGGATACTCCCTCTTCTTTAATATTTCTCCTATCTCACTGGCTGATTTTAGGATCTTTACTGTTTTGTTTTTATCATTTGCCTGTTAACATGAAACAGAACTTAATATAATTTATTTCCTAGACCTCTTCTTTATCCATACTCATCCAGTGTTTTTTTTTTTTAAATTATTCTGTAAACTAATAATTTCCAAATGTGTATCTCTAACCAGAACATTTCCACAACTCCAGACTAATTTATTCAAATGTCTACTTGAAATTCATGTGTTTGCCTAACAGATTTCTTAAACTGTTCAAAACTGAACTCCTGATCTTCCAACCATGGTCTTTCCTGTTTAATTTAAGGCCACCTCCATTATATCAATTGGTCAGGATTGGAGTCAACCTGACTCCTCTCTTTCTGTCACACCAATCATCCAGTGTGTTAGCAAATTCTATTAGCTCTATCTTCTAAAATTTGCCAGAATATTCTTTATTCTAACAATTTTTCATCCAAGGTGATAGCACCTTGGTCTAAGCATCATCTTTTCTAACCTGAATGTTTACAACATTCTTACCGTTGGTCTTTCTACTTTTTCCATAGCCCACCTTAAGTCAGCATAAGGAATCCTTTTAAATGATAGTTATTTTGCTTAAGACAGGTAATTTTGCGCGTCTGCTTAAGCCATCCAATTCCTTCCTACTTTGTTCAAATCTAAGGCTCTTACAATAGTCTATATCTGATTTCCCCTTGTTCCTATCCTGTTATTTCTTTGATTTCATCTACTATTGGTGTCCTCTGTATTAATTCTGTTCCATTGTAATACTTCCAATCCCCCATTCTCTACTTTGTTTTTCTTTTCAACAGACATCATCATGTAATATATTTTACTTTTTTTAATTTTGTTTATTATCTACTTGAATTTAAGCCCATGAGGAAAGAGATTTTTTGTTTATTTTGCTCATGTAGTATCACCATTTTTATAGTGATAAATATTTCCTGAATGATAGAATGAAATGAATAAATGAAGGATGTTTTAATTGGTTACGTTAAGTGTTTCCATTCGAATGCTTATAACCATCATCATTTTCTTTCTTTTTTTGTTGAAATTAAGTGTATTTAAATGGGTAAAACATTGTACATCCTTTAAAAACCAAAATCTAAAGTAAGCGAATCAATAATACAAAGTAGTTTTTAGTAGTAATTGGAAATAGGGGTTACATTGACCAGTGTGAAAATGTTCACACTAAGTGAACTTTCAATGATTCAAGTGTGTATACCACACAGTGGAGGCTGGTGTGATTTCAGATTAATTCCTCCCCTGGAAAGACCATCCCCAGTTGAATTCTTCCTCAGCCCACTCTGTCAGCTCACAAGATGGGGTAGCTGGCTGCTGAGGTGATTCCACAGTTGTTCTTCCAGTCTCTGACCATTTTTATGTAGCCATACCTGCCCCATTCTGCACCCCAACTGTTCTTCGCAATCCAGTATTTGTTTTCATCTGGTTTTGCTCCTTCAAAGCCATAGCCAACTGCCAGAACAGCATGATTCAAATTTTCCGAGCTGCAGTCTGGTTCATAATAAATGCCTTCTTCATAGAACTAGAATGGTTCATGACTTGCATCAATAGCAACAGACATAGGTCCCACAATTGCCACAGCAGCCACCAGAGACTTTTCACACACAGGGATAGGGATGTCTATGAAGCCAGTGTCATTAGCAACAGAATACTCAGGCTTGTACTTACAATGTTCTTCCTTTCCTGTTTAGAAAAGGAAGATAGGATAGGATGTCGCAGAGTCCAGGCCTCCATTCTTCTTTACAAACTGGAAGGCATAATCCATCCTGCCACCTTTACAACCCGCATTTCCTTGAGTCTGAGAACAGTCCACCAGGTTTTGCTCACTCAGTACAACAAGTTTGCCAGTTTTTCAGAAGTTTGTCCTTCAAGAGCACCAGTTGCACAAAAGCCCAACCTGAATCACGTTCATACTGATCCTTCACAGGAGTCACGTAGCCCTCCTTTCTCCAATCCATAGATGGGTGGACATAAGAAAAGGGAGGTTCCTGGAACACTTTCCCCTTCTTGTGCTTCTGGTATTGAAAATCATTCATCCTCTGGTTGTATTCTTTACTGGTCATGTCCTCAAAGGTGTTCATGGCCAACGGGAAGCCATGTTTCCCTTCCCTGTATTCCTGATTGTGCTGTATGATCAGTTTCATATTCTTCTCCCACACTGCTCTCTGCCATCCTTCTTCATTCATTGCATATAATTTCCTGTATTTTGCCTTCCACTGGTTCCACTGTGCAACTTAACTGTCATCCAGTGTGGGAGCAGCTGAAGCTATTCCGAAGCAAAAGGCAACCAGGAAGAGGGAACGATTCATGTTTCAAAAACCAGTGCTGACCAGAGCTACACAGCCACAGTGGTTGGTGCAGGGTCTAGGGCTCTCCCGTCATCTGCTGTCCCATCATTTTCAATAAGCTATTATATTAGAAAGTTAAGATAGAAATTTACACATTTAAAACCACATTTTAAGACCACATTTCCTGTAGAAAAATCAACTAGAAGCATTTATTAAGTATTGTTTAAATAGATTATGCCAGATTACAATGTTATGTTGTTACATTTAAGAAAATAATTTTTCCATCAGGTTCTGGAGCTGCAAAGCCCTCCAAAGGCCAGCACAGTGGTGAAGGACTGTGTCAGAGCTTGCCTGGATTCTACATACAAGTATATTTTCGACAATTGCCATGAACTTTATTCCCAGCTAACAGACCCGGTGAGAAAAGATGTGTGTCTTTTATGGTCTCTTTTCTAATGTCTGTTTCAATAAGTTTAGAATGACAGTAAATAGGAAAATATGTTCCTATTTGCACATTAACTGCAGACTTGGGAATTTCCATGCCTTTTCTTCATATTTTAAGATCATTTTCATCTATATGAACTAATTTATTCCTTACAATAACTTTACGTAGTAAAGGCAGATATTATTGTCCAACTTTTTAAGTGAAAAATCAGTTTAAGAAGAATTACGTGGTTTGCTGAAGGTCACACAAGTGGATAAGTGACAGATTTGGAATTAGTACTAGGATTCCAACTCCTGTTTCTGTGTTCTCCTGATTTATACTTCCTCCCCTACCCTTTTACCTTGCTTTTAATTTTACCTTATAAAAGTGTTTAATGAGAGTTTTATAGGACAGGATGGTAAAATTATTGTTTGCTAGCTTATTGAAAATTATTTCAAAAATGCAAGAGAAAATAAAGACAGTCAATATATACTTACTACCTAGATAACCAAATTAACACTTAGCAATATTTCTGCTTTTTATTGTTTAAAGGCACAAATGTTACATATAAAATGGTATTTTGCTTTAAATGTCCTAGTATTGCTCCTCTCCCTTTTTTCTTCTTTATAGATAAACACTTTTCTAAAATTGATGAGTTTAAACATCTTTTCACATATGATCAATGGACACTTCGGGTTTACCTTCTGTGAATTGCTTTTTAATTTTTTGCTGATTTTCCTCTTGTCTTACTTGTCTGTTACTTATTAATTTGTAGAAAATTATAAATGTATTGTACATACTAATCCTCTACTGATTAGGTAGATCTCGTATATTCCCTATTCATGTCATGTCTTCTTGTTGTATTGAAGTTTTCAAGTGCAAACTATGATACACACACACACACACACACACACACACACACACACACTTTTCTTCTGTAATAGTAATAGTAATATATTACTATGACTATTTTGGGGGGAATAGTTTTTAAACATATGTCTATTCTACCTGAGCAACATAGAAAGATCTTATCTATGCAGTCTAGCATGGTGGTGCATGCCTGTAGTTCCAGCTACTTGGGAGGCTGAGACAGGAGGATTAATTGAGCCCAGGAGTTCAAGGCTGCAGTGCATTATGATGCCACCATTGTACTCCATCCATCCTGGGAGAAAGGACAAGACTCTGTCTCTATTAAAGACAAAAAAAAATGTGTCTATTGCCTGTTCTCTTCCTTGAAGAATGCAGTTGCTCCACTATATATTGAAAATTATATAATTTCCCAAGGAACTTTCTGATTACTGGGGTGGAACAAATTAAAGAAAGCAACTGTTGGAAGAAAGCATGTGAGATTCTTCCAAACTGGATTTTAAACTCGGTTTCATATAGTATGTCATCTTTCTGGAGTCACTGATTCTTTTGCCTAATGGAGAAAAAACATAATGCTAGAGTTTGGCTTATCAACCCTGTTAGATATTCTCTAGTTTAAGAATTTGTTTCTCTGGGATTTCTAGGGATTAAATTGGTTTTTACTAGTACTCTGCATCGGTGACTTGCTAATGGCTTCTCTTTGTCTATTCTCTACTTTCTATCTTCCTTTCACAGGGTTCTTTCAATTCTTCTACATTTTTCAAAATAATTGTCTTTATTTTACCTGAAGGATAAGATTGAAATTTTTTATTGTACTATGTAAGTTATTCATACATAACTTCATAATCAATCTTCACTAGAGTGTGCTTCCTATTTCTCACTATCATGAGTCAAACTGGTTTGCTCTAATGAACTCTAAATTTTATAATTTCCATGAATTGACCATCATCTTTACATCCCTGCATTTATGCATCATGTTCTATATGCCTAAAATACTCTTCCTCCATTCCCTGCCTTCATCAAAATTCAGCTCAAATATAATCTCTGTTAAACAAAACATTATTCATGATACTCATGAATGATAAGGCAGATTATTCAAAGAGGACTGTTGCAGCATCTATACAGGAAGGTCATCACAATGGGGTTTTCTAATAAGAGAGAGAATTGGGGCTCAACTCCAAATACCACAAGGAAAAGTGAGACTTTATAGACAAGTAACTGAGGTGGCAGACAGGGGTCACTGGATGGAAATTACTAAGAAGTAATACCATGGGCAAGAAGGGATTCTGGCTAAATGGATCTGATAGGATGCTTGCTGAAGTCAGATCAAGTGATCAGATATCACCTGGGGGATTGTAGCATAAGGGAACCCTGGATACTGAGGATGGTGGATTCTAGCTAAACTGACTTAGCAGGATTCTTGCTAAAATTGGACAATGCAGAAACTAACATGGAAACTCAAAAATTGAGGCCCAATTGAAAAGACAGCTCAGAAGAGGTTGACAAAAGTTTGTTCAAAGAAACTTTGTTACCTCCTACTAAAATTCACACCCAGTGGAGAAATCAAACTGCCTAGGTAAAGTGATTTAACCTTGTTTAGTGTCCTTCTAATACATAAATAGTAATACTAATAAACAAATTAAGTGATTTATTTTTATAAGAAAGCTTTGTAGGCAGTTCTCTTAAAGCAAACAAGCCTTTAAATAAGTAAAATGAATTGTGTCACATCAAAATAAATCGAATAGAACTTAACAGTTTCTGACTTGGATTTTAAAACTAGATATTTACATAATTTTCTTACTAACTAGTTTTCTATTTTGATAAATTGATCTGTAGATTTTATCTGAAATTTTGTCAATGTAGAGACTGTTTGGAGCTAAGCTTTAACTTTTAGGAAAAAACCTTTCTATAAATGTTATCATTTGAAATTCTAAAGGAAGTACCCATTGGAGCTGAATTATGGAGACTAATAGTCTTTCTGAAGTCATCTAGGAATGTTTCAAATGATTAAAGCTTATTTCCCCTCAGTTGACTATAGTTCCATGTTCCTAAGAGCTCAAGTTAAAATCTTTTTGTCTCATGTCACACGTTTGACTTATCTTCAAATTCTAATGATTTTACATTCAAAATTAAGTACTTTAATTTCAAAATACTTTCGGAACCTGACCATTTTTCACCAGTCTCATGCTTCTACTCTAGTCCACAGCCACCATTATTGTTCACTTGGATTACTATATAACTTTCTAAGAGAGCTCAGTGTTTTCACCCTACCTTATATTTAATCTCAACAGAGCAACTAGAATGGTCCTTTGTGAAAAAAAAAGAGTCAGATTATGTCACTCTTCTGCATGGAATTTTTTTTTTTTTTTGAGTGGGCGACTCTCTCTGTTGCCCAGACTGGAGTGCAATGGCACAGTCAAGGCCCAGGCTAGAATGCAGTGGCATGCTCACAGCCACCGTAGCCTCAACCTGCTGTGCTCAGGTAAGCTCATGGCCACTGCAGCCTGACCTGCTGGGCTCAGGTGATCCTTCCGCCTCAGCCGTCCAACTAGCTGGAACTACAGGCGCACACCACCATACCCAGCTAATTTTCTGATTTATTGTAGAGGTGGGGTCTCATCAAATTGTCCAGGCAGGTCTCGAACCCGTAGGCTCAGGCAATCCTCTCACCTTGGCCTCCCAAAGTGTTGGGATTATAGGCATGAGCCACCGTGCCCAGCCTAGAATGTTCTAAAGGCCCTTCATTTAAGTCAAATACAATGACCTACACAATCTCATATGATCTGGCCCATGTTATACTTTCCATTCCACTTACTCTAATTCTCTCCTCTTTGCACGTCACCAGAGATTATGCACAGGGAAGTTGTGTAATCAATGCTGTATTCCTGCTATTTATGGCAATTAAAAAACTTATAACAGCACTTAGTAGGCACTCAAAAAGGCACTTGTTAAATGAATTGAATAAATGAACAAACAGTAATTTTTCTAACACAATAAGAATATGTAGACCTATTTGGTTTTTTGGCCTATTATAAGCAAGATTGAACACAGTACCCTATTTGATGGTAGACTCTCAGTGCTTCCCTAATGCCTCTTGCAGTTACTCTGGGTGATATGGCAGGGTTCTGGACAATGAGGTATGGGAAAAATAAATGAAAGCCACTTCTAGTCCCAACCCATAAAAACATCTTGTAACCTGCAGTGCAGTAACCTGGAAGGATACATACTCCAGATGGCATAGCTACCAGATGGAGAAAGGCTGCCTAACCAGCTTTAGACTTTGGATGTTTAAGAAATAATCCTTTATTGCATTAACTCACTGAGATTTGGAGATTTATTTGTTACTATAATACAATCTAGCTTATCTTGACTAATAGAACTTCAGATTCATTTCCAAACTGTCACCTCAACTATTTCAAATACATCGAAGTTTATGTGACTATCTCATTTATGACTCTTGGCTGGTTACCCAGTCGCCCATGGGATTATGTGCAAACTCTTTGCTATTATCCAAAGTCCTTCCAAGGTACATACCCTGACTATTACCTTATTACTTTGATGTCATCTCTACCTTGCATTCTGATTCAGCACACTAAACTCCTTCATGACTTTACTTGCATTTTTTTCTCTTTTACCTTCCTGACGTGTGCTTCACTTCTCCAAATCCCCCTCCTCATGGCTAACTCCTGCTCAACTGAACTTTTCTTCAGAAATCCTTTGTAACTTCTCCTACCTGGACTAGGAGTTTCTGTTTTCTTAATACCCTGACATGTTGCCATCAGTGCACTATCATGCTGAATTTTAGGCACATAATATGATATCAGTTTGACCTGTCTTCCCCACTAGATTGTGAATTTCATCTTTGTATAGTCCATGTCCAGTGGAACACCTGACTCGGAGAAGGGTTAATAAAAAATATTATCTAATAAAAATACAATCTTATAAAATAGCATTACCTTAATTTTTATTTACAGTATCCTCAAATGACTCTACTTTAAAATGTATGGCACATGATCTCTGATATCAAAACTCCTAAGCTCAAATCGCCACTCTGCTGCTTAGTTTTGTGGCCTTTGATAAGCTATTTAGTTTCTTCATGTCTCAGTGTCTTCATCAGGGAACAGTT